AGCATGTTATGCATGAGCAAGCCTTTCAGACTCATCACATCTGCTTTTTCTTGCAGATTGTTTTTTGAGTACCATTCTACTGCTGCTGATGGCCCACAGCACCTCATAGGTGCCCAATCTTGAAATGCTCGATTTGTTTGAAGTCATTTAGAGCAGTGATATTGTTACACAACACAATGGAAGATATCCTCAATGTGAAGTATGCTTGGCCTGCTGTGTTCATCCAGCCCTGCAGCCTCTCTGCTCCTATGATGCTGCTTGGCCTGCTGTGTTCATCCAGCCCTGCACCTTGTTGTCTCGGATTCTCCAGCATCTGCAGTTCCTACTACCCCTATCCAAATTGTTATCTATCTTTGCAAAGAGTGCATGCAGGCTGGTTCCATGAAGTTTGTTGCTAGTTTCTTCAATCTGGCTCCAGTCCTTCTCTCTCAAGTTGGCCATCTTCTTCTAGTGCTGCTCTTACTCCTCATCAATTCAGTAGAGATTTTATATCTAGTTACTGAATCAGGAATACATCACATTTGTTTGTCTCTCGTCCAGCCCCATGACTAGCAGTCCATTCTAGGCATATTTTCAATGTATCACAAGCCTCATCATGTGTCAATGTGCACTGTTTTGATTTACAGTGAGATAGACAGCCTGGTGAACAGGAAAAAAGTATGTATGTACTTTCAGTAACTGTCTAATATGTTTTTTTTTCAGAAAAATCAGAATCAAAAGATATTGGGAAGAAAAAGAATAAGGAAGCAGAATTCAATAAAGAAAAAAGCAGAACAACAGTTCAACGACCAGCATCTGTCTCTCAAACTGTATCTCAAACTTTTATAGACAGTAAGTTATAGACCTGTTTAGTGGGCGGTGGGTAAGCACTTTAAATTTTTGCCCTTGGTTTGTCAGCTCTGCATTTCCTTGTTGGGACTACTGGGAGTCACTTTATCAACAACTTTCTTTAGTATTTTAATGTTGCAATGCTATCTCCCCCTGCATTAACAGCAACAAGTGGGAAATTCAACAAAAGAACTGATTAGTAAAAATGCTTTACCACAGGCATTAGTTTTGATTTTTGTCAGAGTGAAAACAGCACCAATAGATAACAATCCATGGTGTATTTATCTTTATGTTTGTCATTGTATACTTTTACTTTACATGAATATATTTGAAACCAGTGCTATTTTTTTTTAACTACACGATGCATTTTCAGATTTTTTTTCTGTGACACTCAAGGTCTTTTTTTATTTCAAAAATATACTTTATTCATAAAAATATCCTTTATATACACACATATTCACCAAAGCAGTTTGGTTTTGTACAGTAGGATGTGAAGAAACAAACAAATAATAGAGTTTGACTCTTTCCAGCAAACAAACAAAAGCTATTTCCAACTAGTACAAGATCCCATTTACATAGAATCGAGACACTAGGAGGGTCCAATAACTGAACGGACCATTTAACTTCAGCAGAAAGACCTTATATGGTAGTTTTCCCCCACCAAACCTTGGCGGCAGCTTTAGTGCATCCCTCAGCACGTAGTCCTGGACATTGGAATGTGCCAGTCTGCAACATTTGATCAAGGTCAACTCCTTGCTCTGGAAGACCAACAGGTTTCAGGCAGACCGAAGAGTCTCTTTCACTGGGTTGGTGGTCCTCCAGGCACAGACGATGTTTGTCTCAGTGTTCATCCTGGGGAACAGACTGTAGAGCACAGAGTCCTGTGTCATGGGCTGCGCAGGACAAACCTGGACAAAAATGACTGCATCTGTCTCCAGACCTCCTCTACAAAGGTACATTCCAGCAGGAAATGTGTGAACCTCTCTGCCCTCCTGCAGCTGCTTCGAGAGCAGTGTGCAGTGGCACAGATATGAAGGGCGTACATGAAGGATATCACAGGTAGTGCCCATCTCACCACTAGCTTGATGCTTCTTGGAAACTTCTAGTGATGAGGCATTCTGCCAAATGACTTTGACAGTCTGGTCAGGGAACAATCCGAAAGGATCAAACCTCTCCTTTTTTTCTCAGGGTCTCGAGGAAACAACCACTTCCTGATGGACCTGTGGTCAAAGGTGTTTTTCTTTGCAAATTTCTCCATGAAGGACAAGTGATATGGAATGATCCAACTACTTGAAGCGTTTCGCTGTCACGAAGCCAGACCCATCCTTTGTAACACCAGGAATACTTAAAACCTCAGCACGAAGTGACACTTGCCGTTTGTGTACTGAGGGTCTACACACAACCTGATGCAGCTGCACACAAAGGTGGCTATCAAGATGAAGGCAGCATTGGGTACATTCTTTCCCCCCCCCCTCCATTATCCAGAGCTTTGTACACGATGTCCCTGCAGACACAGTCCATCTTAGACCTCCAGGTGAAATGGAAGATGGTTTAGGTGACTGCAATGGCGCAGATTCTGGGAATGTGCCAGCCTGTGCCACGTACAATAAAAGAGAAAATGCCTGACACCAGATGACCAGATTTTTTACCCACAATGGAGAGGGAGTAGCGCATCCAGAAGCCCAGTTTATGCCTCACCTTAGCGATACGCTCCTCCCAAGGTTTTGTGCATGCCTCAGTCCCTCCAGACTATATTCCCAGCACCTTCAGGTAATCTGTCCTGATGGTGAATGGGATAAAGGATCGGTTGGCCCATTTCTGAAAGAACATGGTCTCACCACTGCCTTGATTTACCTTGGCTGTCGAGGCCAGTTTGAACAGGTTGCAGACACTCATGAGTCAGCACACCGACAGCAGATCCGAGCAGAAAACAGCAACATCATCCACATACTGGGGGGCTTTGACCTACAGGCCTCCACTGCCTGAAATAGCCACCCCTCTCAGGCTCGCATCCTTCCTGAGGGACTTGGCAAAATGCTCTAAAGAGAACACACAGCTGTCCCAAGCTTTAGTGCATACCTCAGCACATAGTCCTGGACCTTGGAAAGTGTCAACTCCTCTGGAAAACCAACATATTTCGGGCAAACCAAACAGCATCTTTCACCAAGTTGATGGTCTTCCAGGTGCAGTCAATTTTTGTCTTGGTGTGCATCCTGGAGAGAGTGGGCAGCCCTGCCTGACTCCAGACCTCATCAAAAAGCCTTCTAATTCCCACCCGTTAATTCAGTCTGCATGAATGACATTGTTGCAGAGCAGTCGGATCCAATTGCAGATTCCCTTCATAAAGCTCAGTTTGGAGAGCACGCCCCACATGAATGTGTGCGATATCCAGTCAAAGGCCTTCTCCTGGTCCAGATGATGAGGCAGGCATCCACATGCCTGTCCTGCACATAGGCAATTGTATCCATGAGGAACAAGAGGCTTTCAGAGATTGTCCTGCCCAGTATAGCACAGGTTTGGTCTGGTTGAATCACCGAACCCAGAACAGACTAGACCCAGTTGGCGATGACCTTAGACAGGATTTTGTACTCTGCATTCAGCAGTGAAATTGGTCGCCAATTTCTAATTTCCTCCCTCTATCCCTTTTGCTTGTAGGTGAGAGTGATGATACCTTTCCTTATGGACTTGCACATACTACCTGTATGACAGAAGCATACTGTCATACACCTCCAACAGGTCCTGGCTAATCAAGTCCCACAGAGCTGAATACCACTCATCCAGTAAGCCTTCGCTTTTAAGGGTTTATTCTTTTCTAAGGACTCGATAACTTTGGTCAGCTCATCCAGAGATAATGGCTGGTCCAGCCTCTCCCACATGCTGTCATCTGAGACCACCATGATTGACGACTGGGAGGCCACACTGTCTGTGGGCTTTGTGTCATACAGTTTGGCATAGGAGGATTTGCTGATCCTCAGGATGTGATGATATTACCGGGCCATCTTCTTTAGGCTGCTGAGCACAGGTCTCACCTTGTGCACCCTCTGGAAGAAGAAAAGTGAGCACATCTCATCCTGTCCCCCAGTGTGGTCCCTAGACTAGAAGATCATCTCGGACGCCTCCAAGGTAAAAAGCGAGGCTTGTTGGCTCTTCACCTCCTGGAGATCCTCTGTGACATTGACCCCCATCGCCTGCAGTAGGAGTAGGTTCTGCATGCTTTTCTGGAGTTTGGACTGTTTTCCATCTCTCTCTCGCCTTTTGAACATCTTTGAGGATAAAGAACCTCTTGATATTCTTTTTGACTATTTCCCACCAGTCTATTGGAGTCTCAAAGAGGGTCTTCACAGTCTAACAACCTGTGCATTCCATTTTGAGCTCCTCAATGTTTTCTGGGGTCAATATTCAGCTTCCACGTTCCCTTGCTGGCCAGCGGTTGTCCTGTAGGTGACAGTCAGTCAGCAGGAAGCAGTGGTCAGAGAAGAACAACAGCTTGACATTGGTGGACCTGACTGAGAACATTTGGGACACAAACAGGAAATCTATTCTTGAGCGGATAGACCTGTCTGGCCGTGACCAGGTGTATCTAAACTACGGTCCATCTGCAGGCTGCTGAATACGTCGTGCAGATGGACGACTTTGCCTTTTCCTTCAGGAATCTGGTCATGGAATCCAGTTTGCGTTTTCAGGTGTTTTTTTTTAAATTCAATAAAATTCTTTATTCATAAAAAATATCTTTGTATAGATACATAATCACAAACACAGTTCAATTTTGTACAGTAGCATTTCAAGGAGACAAACATTGGAGTTTGACTCTATCCAAACAAACCAAAGACATGTCTTACACATACAGGACTATATTTACATGCATTGAGGCAGTAGGAGGGTCTGATAACTGAATGAACCCCCATTTAACTTCAGCAGGAAGACCTCAAACAGCGGTCTTTCCCCACTGCACCTTGGTGACAGCTGCCCCAAGCTTTATTGCATCCCTCTGCATGTATCCTGGACCTTGGAATTTGCCAGTTTGCAACACTTGGTCAAAGTCAACTTCTTGTTCTGGAAGAGCAGCAAGCTTCGGGCCGACCAAAGAGCGTCTTTTACCGAGTTGTGGTCCTCCAGGCGCAGTCAATGTTTGCCTTGGTGTGCATCTCGGGGAACAGACCATACAGCGTCACGGAGCTGCTTGGGATGAACTTCGACAAAAACCACTGTGTCTTTCTCCAGACTTCCCTTCCCACAACAGGAGATGTGTGACAGTCTCAACCCCCATGCAGTTGCTTTGAGGGCAGCGTGTGGTGGCGCAGACCGACCTGGTGTATGTGAAGGACCTCACAGGTAGTGCCCTTCTCACCACCAGCCAATGCAAAGGTAGCCTTGCCCTGTTGACAATTATTACCTGCACTGCTTTTGCTGCACTATCCAGACTCACTCCCTTTCAATCACTGTGTGGCCAAAGAGACCCCAGTTCTCTCTTGCTGTTTTGCTTTTGAAGTGCCCCTGATTTTCTTTCCCTCCATTTGTCTACACCACTGAATTGACACTGATTTGCTCCCTCCCATTTCCTGAGCTATTATGGTGACTTTGATTCCCTTTCTCACATTCGGAATTAGTTGAAGATGTGAATGACATGTACATGTACATTGACAAGGAAAATTGTGCAGAGCAGCAAAGAAAGAGGAAAGGACTAGGGCTAATTGGATAGCTCTTTCAAAGAGTTGACACTGGCATAATTAATTGAATAACCATCCTGAATGATACTATGATTCAAAGTAATTTTGAAATGCAGTTACTATTGTAATATAAGAAATGGAAACTAAGTGCTCCCCTGTAGTTTGTGCAATCAAGTAATGTTTTTATGTTAATAAAACAAAGAACTGTGGATGTCAGAGGTCTGAAATAAATAAAAACAGAAATTGCTGGAGAAACTCAGAAACCAGTTCTGAAGAATAGTCACCGGACTCGAAAATTTAACTGTGTTTTCTGTCCACAGATGCTGCCAGAAATTTTTGTTTTTGAATGTTTTTCTGTTCTCTGTGCTATAGGTCTTCCTTCACCAGTGATGCCACAAATGATGATCTATGCTACCTACTTCCTACTACAGCTGTCAGAAAAGAAGATTTCTTTACTTGGACAAATGGTAATATAAGTTGCATGTGCTGTTTTACAAGTTGTTTACATGACATTTTATTCCTGTCTGCTGCTTTGGTAATAAAACTATAGATCAAGTGAATAGCACCACATTAGATTTAAAAGAAGGAGCTTGCAGTCAGTGAACTTTCTTGACCTGAAAAGATACCAAAGTACTTTACAGCCAATTTAATATTTTTGAAGTGTTTTCACTGTTGTAATGTAGCAAATGTGACAGCCAATTTGAACACATGAAGTTCTCATAAACATCAATGTGATAATGAACAGATAATCTGTTGTGAAATTATTGCTTGAAGATAAGTATTGTCAAGATGTGGAAGAATACCAATATTCCACTTTTATAGGAAAATAGCAATTAGGAGCAGGAGTAGGCAATTCAGTCCTTTGAGCCCACTCCGCCATTTAACATGATCATGGCTAATCTTATCTCAACTCCACTTTCCTGCCTGCTCCCCATACCCCTTTGTCCCGTTTTTCATCAGAAACGTATCTATTTCTGGCTTGAATTTGTTGATTGATTCTGACTCCACTGCACTCTGGGACAGTGAGTTCCACAGATTCACAATCCTCTGAGAGAAGTAGTTTCTCCTCAACTCAGTTTTGAATCTACCTGCTCTCACTCTATATCAATGCCCTTTTGTTCGAGACTGTCCCACAAGGGGGAGCATCTGTTCAACGTCCACCTTATCAATCCCCTTTATCATTTTCTGTACCTAAATCATATCCCCCTCATTCTTCTGAACTCCAGCAAGTACTAGCCAAAGCTATTCAACCACTCCTCGTATGACAGCCCTTTCATTCCTGGAATTGACCTGGCGAACCTCCTCTGAGCTGCTATCAGCGCCACCACATCTTCTCTCAAGTTAGTAGACCAAAGCTGGAGAATATTCTAGATGTGGTCTCACCAACACCTTATGTAATTGTAACAACACTTTACTTTTATAATCCAGTCCTTTTGCAATAAATGCCAGGATCCATTTACCTTTCTTATTATATGCTGCAGCTGTATATTCACTTACTGCAATTCATGCACAAAGATGCCCAGATCCCTCTGCGTTGATATACTTTGAATCTGCTTCCCATTTGGATAATAATTTGCCCATTTACTTTTCCGGCCAAAATGGACAACATCACACTTATCCACATTAAACGCCATCTGCCAGATTCTGGCTGGTTCTCCTAGTTTATCAATATTCATCTGTAAACTCTTTATCTCCTCATCATTCCTGCTTTCCTATCTATTTTAATATCATCCATGAAATTTGCTATATTACACTCTGTCCCTGCTTTCAGATCACTTATATAGATTGTAAATAGTTGAGGTCCAAGAATTGAACCCTGCAGCACCCCACTAGTTACAGTTTGCCATCCAGAGAAGGACCCATTTTTCCTGACCCTCTGCATTCTGTAAGTCAGCCAATCCTGTATCCAATTCCTTAATTCCCTGGGATCTAACCTCCTGGATCAGAATTTTATGTGGCACCTTGTCTGCAGGAAGTCTAGATATACCACATCCACCAGTTTGCCATTATCCACCTTGCTGGTTATATCCTTCAGGAATTCCAAAAGGTTTGTCAAGCAGGCCTTTGCCTTCATGAAACTGTGCTGACACTGTTGAATTGAGCTTTGTTGTTCCAAGTGTTCAGTTATCTCTTTCTTTATAATTGACTCTAGCAACTTCCCCACTACAGAGATCAAACTAACTGGCCTCCAGTTTCCCACTTTTGCCTATCTTCTTTTTTGAATAAGTGTATCACATTAGCATCTTTCCAATCCACTGGTACCTTTCCAGAATCCAGGGAATTTTGGAAAATCATAACTAATGCTTCCACCAACTCTGCTGCTACCTCCTTTAATACCCTAGAGTGCAAGCCATCAGGATCCGGGAACTTATCTGCTTTTAATCCCATCACTTTACTTAATACCTTCTCTCTAGTTATAGTAACATCACCAAGTTCCTCTGTAGTAACAGAAGTTTTATGAAATAAATTATTATCTTCCATTGTGAAAACAGAGACAAAATATTGGTTTAGTGCCTCTGCCATTTCTGAGTTTCCTATTATTACCTCGCCATTTTCATCCTCTAAAGGACCAACATTTACTTTCACTATTTTCTTCCTTTTCATATACTTATAGTAGCGTTTGGTATGAGTGCTCATCTTTTCTGCTAGCTTCCTTCCGTAGTTCATCTTAGCTCTTTTGAAAACTGAAAGAACTGCGGATGCTGTAAATCAGGAACAAAAAACAGAAGTTGCAGGGAAAGTTCAGCAGGTCTGGCAGCATCTGTGAAGAAAAAATCAGAGTTAATGTTTTGGGTCGAGTGGACCTAAAATGTTAACTCTGATTTTTCCTTCATGATGCTGCCTGACCTGCTGAGCTTTTCCAGCAACTGCTGTTTTTGTTAGCTCTTTTGATTTTGTTTTTAGTCACCTTTTGCTGATGTTTAAAGTTCTCCCAATCCTCCATAGTGGCATTAATGTTTACAGTATGATACGTCCTAGTTTTTGCCTTTATATTATCCTTGACTTCCTTGTTAAGCCATGGATGATTTTTCACCTTTTTATAATTCCTTTTCACCTCAGGAATATACTTTAGTTGAGAGGTGTTTAGTATCTCCCGAAGCAATTGCCACTGTTCTTCAACCGTCCTGCCCTTTAAAATATTTGCCCAGTCGACTTGGACCAAGTCGTTCCTCAGTCCTCTATAATTACCTTTGCCCAATGCCAAAATTCTTGTATGCAACTCCTGTTCGTTCTTTCAATCTCAGTTTAAAACTCTAGCATGTTGTGGTCACTGCTTTGAAGAGGAGCCTTAATTACAAGACCATTTGTCAATCCTTCCTCATTACATAATACCAAATCTAAACTAGCCAAAAAAAACGAATTTCAAAAAACATCTCTTGATCTGGGCACCACTACCTCCAGTGAGAATGTCAACATAGATTCTCAGAATTCAGGTCAGATGATATATAGAACAGTAGAGAGAAAGGATCTTGGCTCAGAAGATCAAGAACTAGAAATAATACCATTGGAGATCAAGAATAATAAAGATCAGGAAATGTTATGGGGGTAGTTTATATAATCCCGAACAACGGTTATTACGCTGGATGGAACATTAAGCAAGAAGTAATTGGTTCCCTGGAGCTAGTGACATCAGAAATTGTCCTGGGGAGTGAGGAAATGGCAGAAATATAGAATAAATATTTTGTATCCACTCCTATTTCTTTGTTTATTCTTGAAATTTCAAAGACTGTAATATACACAACCACACCCATCTCATGTGTTTTTTCTTGGCTCAGTGACTTTATATGGTTTGCTGCAAATTTCAGGCTGATTCCTCAGAGAAGTTGCGACACTATGGACTTTCTCATGCACATAGCCATCCAGTGTTGGTTACAAGGACTAGGTCCTGTCCCCTCATAAACCCTCCAGAAGTAACACCAATTCCACGATGGAAGCTCATCCGACCACGAAATCGTGCTCTTCCAATAGCTGATCCAAAAGGTATTGTTATTTTAAGTTTGGCAATTGTTATGATCCCCGAAAGGATCCTAAAACTGAAATAACAAAATTTAGTGAACAATCCCCAAATAAAGAAATCACTAACAACGTTTTAATTTTTGTAACTTTTGAACATGAAAAGTGCTGATCAATCTCAAATTACTCTGGAAAGGCAAAATACCTCAAAAATTTGAATAATTGATTAACCAAGCCATTTCATGCGTTTTTAAACAGTGACAACACAACTGCTATCTTCCACAAGCAGGACACTGCTGTCAGTCCAAAAAGTTGTTTTGCCTATATAACAAGTAAACCATGTTGCATCTGAATTTCAGTGTCAGCATGATGCCAGTAGGCAGTCTGTAGTTTTCAGTAATTGGCTGATCAACTCAAAAAGCATGTAACGTTTGTATTTTGCTATGAACAAAGGGGTACGGTGGTAGTATCCCTACATCAGAGTCAGGAGGCTGGATTTGAGTCCCTCCAGCTCCGGAACAGATTGATTAGAAAATATCTACAGGCAGTATTCAACCAGTCCCATTTGCAAAACCCAAAACAAAACATCTGCTTTTAGATGTGATTCCATTGACTGTGCAGCATTTGCTAAGCAAACCTGATCATGCCAGTATAAGCAACCAATTTAATAGAATCACTTGAGCTCACAACATGGTTTACTGGAAGTATCATACATTCATGTGCAGGGACCCATTTTCTGCAAACAAACCAACATATTACAGAGACAACAAGGTGCAGAGCTGGATGAACACAGCAGGCCAAGCAGCATCATAGGAGCAAAAAGACTGACGTTTCAGGCCTAGACCCTTCAGCAGAAATGGGGGAGGGGAAGGGGGTTCTGAAATAAATAGGGAGAGAGGGGGAGGCCGATAGAAGATGGATAGAGGAGAAGATAGGTGGAGAGGAAACAGACAGGTCGAAGAGGCGGGGATGGAGCCAGTAAAGGTGAGTGCAGGTGGGGAGTTAGGGAGGGGATAGGTCAGTCCAGGGAGGACGGACAGGTCAAGGGGGCGGGATGAGATCAGTAGGTAGGAGATGGGAGTGCGGCTTGAGGTGGGAGGAGGGGATAGGTGGGAGGAAGAACAGGTTAGGGAGGCGGGGACGAGCTGGGCTGGTTTTGGGATGCTGTTGGGGGGAGGGGAGATTTTGAAGCTTGTGAAATCCACATTGATACCATTGGGCTG